GGCCAGGCCGCCGGGCGAGCGCCGGCATCCCCGGCCCGGCCGCCGCTCCGTGCACTGCGGCAGCCCAGGCAAGGAGCTGCACGGGCGGAAACACCCTTCCCAGCCAGCCCGGGCTCCTCAGTTCGGACATGAACTGTGTTTTCCCGGTCTCCTGAAAGCCCCTTCTCCCATCTCCTGAGGTCCTTGGTGTTCCCAGCCCCGCGCTTCTGAGTGTCCCGCTGTCCCCCGCTCTGCGTTCCAGAGTCCCCCAGTGCCCCCGTCCTGCGCTCTCGGCTCCCTCCCTGTCCCCTGCCTTGCTCTCCCGGGTGCCTCCGCTGTTCCCCGGCCCACGCCTCCCGGGTTCTCGGTATCCTCTGCCCCAAATTCCTGTGCGTCGTCGTCCCCTGCCCGGTGATCCCCAGTCCCCAGAGACCCCCTCTCTGCACTTCGGTGTTGTCACCACTGCCCTCCAGGGTGCCTCAGTATTCCCTGCCTTGCATTGCCGAGCGCCCCGGCATCCCATCCCCTGCGCTTCCGAGTACTTTCACGTCCCTTGTTCCACGCTTCTGCGTCGCTCAGTTGTTCCTTCTTTTGCCCTAAGTTCCCGGGTATCTCCGTGTTCTCGCCCTGTCCTGCTCTCCGTCTCCCTGCGTCTCTGTCCCACTCCCAGTGTCCCTGGATATCCCCACGCCTTTCGCTCCCCGTCCCTGAATGTCCTTTGCCGGGTCCTCAATATCTGCGTGCCTCTCACTCCCCGTCCTTAAATGTTCCTTCCCGGATCCTGGATGTCTCGGTGCCTTTCGTTCCTCGTCCCTAAAGGTGCCCTGCCGCGTTCTGCATGTCCCCGTGCCTTTCACTCCCCATCTCTAAAGGTCCCTTTATTGGGTCCTGGATGTCCCCGTGCCATTCGCCCCCCGTTCCCTGCCGGGCTTTTCGCTCTCCCCCGCTCTCCCTGCCCCTCCGGTGACCTCAGCGCCCTCTCCCCGTCCTTCTCCCTGCCTCTGCCGGAGTGTCCGTGCCCGCGGCGTGGGACTCACCCACGCACTCGTTGGCCTCCCGGGCCGTCGCTCTCTGCCAAGGCCTGTCGTAATGGAAGGGCTTGCAGCGGTCACATTCGGGGCCGGCCGTGTTGTGCTTGCAGTCGCACACCAGGCTGTCGTCGCGGTCCCGGACGCAGCGCGACGCGTGGCCGTTGCACTTGCATCGCCCGCCGACCTGCAAGTCGGAGACGGCGTAGAAATACGAATCGCGGGCCAGCTCGGAGTCATCCTCGCTCTCGTCGCCGAAGGTGTGGAGGCGGCTGAAGGTCACCCTGATGTCGGTGGCCGTCACCCAGTCCTGCAGAACGGGCGAGTTGTCGAAGTCGTGGGCGGTGGGGCGGCCGTCCAGGGTGCTGAAGGCGATGAGGCCGCCAGAGAGGGGCCGCACGTCGGTGTGCGAGTCGGTGCAGACCGCCTCCTGCTCGTTCTGCTTGGTGATGGCCGCCCGGCTGGGCTTGTTGTACATCTTGCGGCACTGCGTGGAGTAGAACTGGAAAGGCACCCAGGTCTTGCCGTAGTCCATGGACTTGTGGATGGCCATGGACTCGGGGCGCGGCGAGCAGAACTGCAGGCTGACGTAGGTCACCTCGAATTTCTTGCCCAGGGAGAGGGTGAGGGTGACGTTATGGGGGTAC